TCTTGGCTGAAGAGGGAGGGGCCTCCTACCTCATCCTGTTGGGGGCCCAATTACACCAAATCTCAAAATACAAGTAAAAAAAAAAAATTTGGGCCTTCATATAAGATTTTTGTTGGGGCCCAGGACCCCAACCCCTCCTTACTGCGTCCGCCACTGATTAAAACCATATTAGAAACTTATTTAGGGTTGTAAAGAAAATAATACAGTTGATACCTGGTGGTGGTGGAATTGGCGGAGATGCCTGCAAAATTGGCGGTGGTGTTGGTGACGAAGATGGTGGTGGAGGGATGTCTAACGTACTCCCGTTATAAAATCGATTTATCTCGTATCTAAATTTACACATGGGTTGAAGAGATTGCCCTCCAATTGCCCCCCTAAACGAAATCACAGACCGATTGATTGCATCTTCCAAGCAACTACTGCACTGCCCCTCTGTTAAATCTGGAGTACACTGAACAAGCCCATAGATTCTTGTAAAATCCGGTGTCGTCGTGTTTCCGGTGGCAAACTTAATAAGCGGACCTCCTGCAGCTGCATCGAGTGTCAGCGGATTCATCAATGGTCGCAGTGCCCTATTGAACCCATCTTGATCCGACGCGTTTTGGGTGTTGAACAAAAACAGAGACGGCGGTCTTTGAGTGTTTCCCCAGAATAGTCTGATTGGAGTATCTCAACAAACAATAGTCGTAGTATCCTATTGCTTCCTTTTGGTTAGGGCAAAGTAGTCTTAAGTTTGAGAATGGAGTCATTTAGACAACTCCGACAGACATTTGGCTCCACGTCGCCTCTACAAAGGGCAATAGAGTTGACTGTATCGCTGCCTTGACCGGAGGAGAGATTGTAGAAACCAAAGCCGGAGTTGGTGGTGGGGAGGGCCAAGAGGGTGGCGGCGAGATTTCTTTCATATGTACCGTTTCTGGTAAAATTACCGGATTCTGTACAGTCATGGTAAATGAAATTGGGTTGAGCTAAAACGGTGGTATCGATTAAATACATAAAAACAAAAGAAAACCATAAGAGGAGTTTTCCGGCGAGTATGAACATGTTTTGTTGCGGCGGAGAAAGGGTTGAGATGGTCTCCAATTTAAGTAGTTTGGGTCCAAATTTAATGTATGTATTGACTAACTGTTTTTTTTCCATCCCTGTTGACTAACAACTAATCCACCTCATTCAATTGCCTAACAACTAATCCACCTCATTCAATTGCCTAAGCTTCACGTTTAGTCATAGGAATAGATCATATATATATATATATATATATATATATATATATACACCACGCAATGCAGCGGGATGTATGATTTCATTGTAAACAGAGAAAACACATTTGTACATAATGGCTTAGGGGATGTGTGGCATTTATTTTGAATGTATAGTCTAATTGATAAAAAGAACTTATGGCTGTTCACCGAACGTTTATTTAGTAAGTGTTTACCAGGTCAATTTACTTTGTCGGATGAACATGAAAACATAGAAAATCTTACCCGGTAAAAGTAATAGGAAGGATCAAGAGTCTTACCTTGTTAGCATTAGCAGATAAATTGTTGCATATAATACTATATTGATGAACTAAGGGGCCGTTTACCAAACGCTTACCCGGTTTTGCGTTTACCTAGTAACATTACCTCACCGGATAAATATAATAAGAACCAATAATCTTACCAGTGAGAGCGAGACAAAGATCAAAAATCTTACCCGATAGGTTAGAACGACGACTCTTACCACGGTAAGCGTTTACCGGGTTAATTATTATATACTATGTCGTTTTAGTGGACAAAAATCTTACCTGGTAAGTACATAATAGTGTTAAATTTTACTGGCCATACTTCCAGTTTTTCAAGAAATCTCCAACCTAGGAAGAAGCCGTAAACCAAATCAACATATTTATATTAGACAAAATATTGCTTAGTTGGTAGGTTGATTGAATTATCCAAACAACAAAAATACCATTTTAAATTTAATGTTTGTTTTTTCATTAAGTTTTCCATTAAGCTCATGTTTTTCCCAAAACTTTAACCAGTAGCTTCCTCCTAAGATGGGTTTATTCTCTTCTTCTGGAGATTCCTCTCAAAAAATCGATCAACCAACAAGAATAATCGAACCCAAAAAATGATCAATTAACAATAACAATCAATCTTTGAAATTGAAACATTTGTGTACTTAAAAATCAACAAGCAAGAAAGTTTTTCTTTTATCTATAAGAACCACCCATTGAAATAGCAGCCAACAATCATAATCACACGAAACATAGGAGCCAAAAGGGATACATGCAAATATATTCATATTGGTGAAAGAAAACCCCACAACAACAAAAATCAACTCCGATTCGTTATACGCAGCAATAAGTGATGGTTGAAAGAGCATCGTTGCAATCAAGCACCATTTGGTATGAAAACTGTTGGGCATTGGAAACCTAGTGTTTATACAATTCCAAATTAAAACATTTTTTTGATTCAATTCCAAATAAAGATTGTGTATCATGGATGTAAACAAAAAGCAAATGAAATTTTTTGGTCTAATTCCAAACTTGGAAGTCAATAAGATATGAATAAAAAAATCTTCAATTCCACACTTGGAACATGAACCAAGATTGTTACACACTTAAATCTAACCAAAATCTTTACACACCCATTAAACCTCACTAAAACCTTTTTAAGATAACCTTAATAAAGGATTTAAAGAGGAAATCATCACGTCTCTAGTTTTTAACAGGAGCTTGTCTTGTCCCTCCATCTCTATAGCAGACAATAAGTACTCATCATCAAAAGCCTCTAGAAAGAAAAAATAGGAAGTACCATGAGAAGCATGAAACCAAAATTCAATTTAGAAATACAAAGAAAGAACATATAAAACTACAAAGAAAAAGAAACCAAATAAAACAAAAAAAGTTATAGAATGGGTAAAAAATTGTTTGTGTGCCAACAGCACAGTTCTTGACATGTATTTGAAACTTACGTATTTTGGCCCATTAACCAATCAATTCGACCTACCTATTCTGCCACCTTTATGGCAACAACTTGAAAATAAAGTATTTCATGTGGTTAACAGGCATTGCTATACCTCGATTGAATTGGTTAACAAGCATTGCAAATAAAGTATTTCATGTGGTTAACACACACCTTTTTCAATTGATAAAAATGAAGACCAACATGAAAGCTTAGAGCCCCAACTTAGAGGCCGTTTACCGAATACTTATCCGGTAAACACTTACTGGTAAAATTTAACACTATCGTTTACTTACCGTGGTAAGATTTTAGTTTACTAAAACATTATCGCATAAAACATATTATCTGATATGCATTTACCATGGTAAGATTCGTCGCCCTCATTTACCAGGTAAGACTCTTAGTTCTTGTCTCGCTTTTACTGGGTAAGATTTTTAGTCACTACCGTATTCATCCGGTAAGATAATATGACTTGGTGTTCACTTATCCGAGTAAGGGTCTAGTAAACGACCCTGTTGGTCCCGTAAGGGTCTACAAGAATAGAAACAGTTTGTAGAAGGGGGGGATGAATACAAACACAGTATTTTCAAATTTAAAATATATATTGATAGAGAAGATCAATACAGATTTTACAAGACTGTTTGCGAAAAGATAAGGTAATGAAAACCTATCTAAACAATCTTTGGTTACACACAGAGCTTTAGCAAATATAAGAAAAGAGATTGCTAAAAAGAAAGATCCTTTACTTAAGCTAGAAGATGCTTGAAGTAAGAATAAGGTTAGAGAGAGATGCGCGCTCTCTACATGGAGAAGAAACACTTCTATTCATACCCAGTGCATTAAATGATCATTTAATGCAATATGGTAGGTTTAGAGTGTGTGTCAAACCTTAAGAGGAAGGTTTGTCCTTTGCTACATTGAATAGTACAAAAGCACTATTCTTGAGCAGACATCCTTACATAAAGTTGGTGGACCAAGAGTCGACTAATCGGCTCCGTACCGTACTAACTTTTGTAAGGGTATGGGTTTGTCCTTTGTGTGCATAAGGACAAAACAACAACAATCATGCTAAGCAAGCTTCCTTTGATCGCTGAATGCTGGAATGACCTGGAGGTCTCACCATCATTCGCTGAAGCTAGAGCAGTCTTCACACATGTATAGACAGACTTGTAATCACTGAATATCGCTTCAGATCACGTACTCGCCATTCTCTAATCTTCAGTTTCAGTCTTCGACGTTTGCTGAAGGTTCTTTGGTGTGAGTGTTGTCTTCTTGAAGTATTGATGTCTCTGATAGATTTACAATGCAAGTTCTTCAGCGATCACTGAACATACTCAGTGATGATCGCTGGAACTGAAAATATAGAAACATAAATACAATGTGAAAAGAGAAAAGGGATTATCATCAAATTACTGAGAGAGAGGATCAACAATCTCCCCCTATTTGATGATAACAATAACATAAAAAAGGTTATCTTATCAAATAATAGTAA